TGCTATAAAATCCCTCTTGACCAGAGGCAACATCCTGTTACCTGTAAAGGGTTAAGAAGTTCAGCTAACCTGGCTGGCACTTGACCCAAAGGACCAACAGGGGACAAGATACTTTCAAATCTTGGTGGGGCGGGGGAAGGCTTTTGTTTGTGCTCTTTGTTTACGTGGTTGTTCTCTCTTGGGACTGAGAGAGGCCAGACAGAAATCCATCTTTTCCAACCCATCCTAATCCAAGTCTCCACTATTGCAACCAGAAGAGGTAAACCAGGCAAGGCGGATTAGTTTATCTTTTGTTTTATGTGAATTTTCCCTGTGTTAAGAGGGAGGTTTATTCCTGTTTTCTGTAACTTTAAGCTTTTGCCCAGAAGGGGATCCTCTGTGTTTTGAATCTGAATACCCTGTAAAGTATTTTCCATCCTGATTTTACAGAGATTATTTTTACCTTTCTTTTTCTTTAATAAAATAATTCTTTTAAGAACCTGACAGATTTTTCCATTGTTCCAAGATCCAGGGGTTTGGGTCTTTTTTGATTTTTGTAACCAATTGGTTAGGATATTATTCTCAAGCCTCCCCAGGAAAGGGGGTGTGTAGGGCTTGGGGGATATTTTTGGGGGGGAAGACATCTCCAAGTGATCTCTTTCCCTGTTCTTTGTTTAAAACACTTGGTGGTGGCAGCATACTGTTCAAGGATAAGGCAAAGTTTGTACCTTGGGGAAGTTTTTAACCTAAGCTAGTAAGAATAAGCTTAGGGGGTCTTTCATGTGGGTCCCCACATCTGTACCCTAGAATTCAGAGTGGGGAAGGAACCCTGACAACAGCTATAATTTAAACACAGATCAAATGTAAGTTTTTAGGAGAAGTGACAAATCTGAAGACTAAATTCTGACTCAGATGTTTATTCTTCCACAATGTCCCTTTTGCTCTTGATATTATGGTGTTGCTTTCAGTTTTTGATCTTCCATCTTCTGTAATGATGCTTCCTAAGTGGTAGTACTTTCTCACTTGATGTACACTTGTGTCACTCACTGGCAATCTTGCATGTTTTTCCAGGCTCCTCACACAGTAGCATAGTTTTTAACTTGACCCATTCAACTCTAGACCACATTCATATATAAATCTCTGCTAACTTCAAAACCAACAAACATTCTTTTGAATCAGCCAACTTCACTGTCATCTGCACAGCGAACGTTATTCACCATTTTTCCATTCACCTTTATACCATCTTCTGTTTCTTCAATTAATTTCAAACACTCGCTACAAAAGTTGAACAAAATCCGTGAGTGGTAGATTCTGTCAAATGCTTTAGGGAAGTCAATGAAACACACATATACTATTTTCCCCATTTCAAATAATCTTTCTAGTATGAGCTTTAAGTTCATGAAGTCATTTATTATGGCTTTCCATGTTTGAAGCTGTATTGCTGTTCGTGTATTTCATTATCAATCTTTTCTTTTATACAATCTTGAACAACTCGCAAGAGTCTCATATGACACGAGGCTGATTGTTCTGTATTCTTTACAATCCATCACATTGTTCTTTTTTGGGATTTGAATACAAAGTGAGATTGTAAAATCTTCCGGCTATTCTGTCTCAAACATTCTTCATTATCTCTGACAGGGCTTTAAAGCCTTCATCCCCTATTCTTTCGAACAATTCACATGACAAGCTATGCTTTTCCATTCAGAAGTCCTTGTACTGATGCTATGATTTCATCACCCATTTTTGGTGGGCTTACTTGACTGGTCTCTAGTTGAGGTTTTTCACAATATAATTCCTTGATATAGTCTCCCCATCTCTCATTCTTGTCTTTAAGGTCTGTCAAATAGTGTCCACTTTTGTCCTTAAGGGACATATTGATTACTTTTCTTCTGTAATCAAAGACACTTATCTTTTGATATATCTCACTTTATTTGTTCAATTTCTGTGCATTTCTCATTCAACCATTTAGACTTTGATAAAGAATAAATGCAGATTAGCATTTTAGTCAATCTCTGGTGTTTCTCTTTTTCTGATGTCGATCTTCGTGCTTTTACTTTCCTTCTTTCACCCATCAGAGCAAAAATTTTATCTGTTATCCAAGGGTTTTTCTTAGCTAGTAACTTCTTTCCTACATGTTTATCTGCATTAATTATCTTGCTGTAAAAAACACCGTTTCAGCTATGCAAACAGCCTATTTTGATAAAAACAATTACACCAATGTTGGTACAAAAACTGTACATAGACCAAGGCCTCGATACAGCCATCGATACAGCCTAAGTCAACACTGTCCCTCAGAGACAATTCACGTCCAAAATGATGCTAGCTAAGCTAAAGCACAAGCAGACAGACAGCTGTGGCAGGGATGGTGGTGGTACTCTGTGTGTGTCCATAACTGAAAGCTAGTACACACTGAAACAGGGTATGAGTTTGAAGTGCAGCAGCCATTCCTGACCAACTCCATGCGTGAACAGCCTTATTCAGGAACAAGAGCACCATGTTCCTGTTTAGCTTAACTCACTGAAACAACTGTGCATGTAGACAAGCCCTAATTTCGTTAGAGATAATAACAGCTGTTTGTGGAAGGCAAGACAGAAAGTGATTGATGAATATTTTCCTTTTGATGCTTCTTCTTACATTTGAGCAGATACCCTTAAAATGGCCATGTAACCCTTTGTATGTCTGAGAGATGGGTATTTTAAAATGATTCTCTTTTTACTTAAGACCATTTTGTGTCAGATGATGAGTTGTTGAGGAACTGTAAATTCACCGCCCTACTTTGTCAAAAGAAACATCCTCTCGCAAAACTCAGGAGCAAAAAGCACTTGCCATGATGCACTTAGTCAAGGTGACACCAAAAAAGGGACCTGACTATGGTCATTGGTCAGTAAGGCCTGAGGAAAGGTGGCTGGCCCTGAGAGGTAGGACAAATAGAGGACTGAAGGTTACAAGCATTTGAGGAAAGTTAAGGAGGTATTGTCAAACAAACAACACTTCTGTCAGAAGCAGTTTACCTACTTTAAAACAAACAACAACTAAAATTTACCAGTATGGAGAAGAGAGAGTGTATTCCCCCTAGCTTGCAAACATTGTGCTTTTTGCTGTATGCTATATATTCTCTTTCACCATTTCCTCTCTATAGTCAGTTAGGCCTAGTCTATACCGCAAAACTGAACTACCGATGACAGTGGGTGGGGCTCATCTTGCTTTGTCCTAGTCTATATTTGTATCTAAGTCATATTTAGCCCGCCAGTTCAACTATACCAATTGCTGGCACTCACTGTCAACAATGGGTCAGTTTAATACTGTACAGGGCCCATGTCTTGCTTCCCATTTTATTTAAATTGAGGGACTTCCTCTGTACCCACCTCCTCTCCAAAGCAGATATACAGCAACAGGAGAGGGGGGAAAACAAAAAGTAACAGGAAAGTAAGTTGTAAAACCACACAGATTGGCAGAGGGACTCAGGGCCCTGAAACTACTTAAGTGTTATGACAAAAACAGAAGTGACTGGTCAGCTGTCCATATCTTCAGGTTGTACTAGAGAAGACCATAATAAAGAGGCTAGTGAGAGCTGCGCGTTCCAGTACTGAACCAAGACCAAGGCACTATATTTTTACAAACTAAGGTATTATGAATCAAATGAAAGCATCATAATCATTAAGTCGAGTGGTAGCCATGCCACCTACCCTGCATAAAATAAACCCATCTACAGAAAGTGAAACTGCGTCAGAAGCCAGTTGTACAGTCTACCAGTCCTTCAAATTAGTTTGACACTGGCCCTTGCATTCTAATGGCCAAAAGAATAACAAACTATTTGAATTAATGCACTGTAATGTCATTAAATTGGCAATTTAAATAAATTCTGGATTTATGTGATCTGAGTCACCAACATCTGCAAGTACCTTTACATCTTGCATAATAGCTGGCTTTATATCTTCACTCACCAAAGTAGAAAAAGGGATTTTTTTTTTTGTATGGCTCCCATGGTATTTTGGACTCAGCACATCATGAAAACACAGCAGTTCTCCAAAACAGCCCATGAATCACATTTATTATCCAGTTCATATTGTGGGGTTTCTTACTCTTGAGCCAATAGAACAGCAACAAAACAAGGTCACTGTTTATGGGGAGCCGGTACAAATTAACCACCTGCTCATCAAACTCTCCACCCTGTTGATACTAAGTGCATTTGGTCTTGGTGACACCACTTACTCTTGTCAAAAGCAACATTCCCAAGTGTGTTCCACTATGCTTTGGGCTGGGTTATCCACCATGGATTGGTTATTGACAGACATGCTATTCTAAGAGCTCTCTCTCACTTGCACTGTACCTTAACTTCTGAAATCTGTATGGTCTTATGACCATTGACAACACTGTAAGTATGCATATAAGAATAATCCAGTTGCAAGCTTCAAGGTGTATGCTGCTTGCATCAGGAATTAATTTCCTTCCCATGTGTGCCATTGCTTAACTGACCAGGTGAGTGATTCTCAAACATTGGCTTAGTGGTAACCCATGCTCCATGAAGCCTTTTTTGCTGGTCTCCACATTGAATCACTTTGAGAATTAACCAACTGCGGTTAACAGGCACTGGGAGAGAAGGAGGGTCCACAAGAGATTCTCTCACAAAATGGCACTCAGTAAAAACAAGAAAAGTTTGAGAATCATACTGGGCAGGTGCATTAGAAGTGCAGGTCAGCATACATTTGCCTGAAACATCAGGAACTGGACACTACATGAGGCAGGATACTGGTCCAATGATCTAGTCTCATATGGCAAAGCTTTTACCAGTAAGGTTTAGGGTGTCCATTGCTCAAGCCAAGAGGATACTCAATCACGCACAAATACACACACACACTTACTTCCCTTTAAAGTTTCCCTTTGAAAGAAGAACCTAAGGGATTACTGCAAATGACTTAAGGTGATCTATAGCAAGCACTGCTATAGCTGTTGAGCTAGTCCTGGTTCAACCCCAGCTATCTCCCTCTTTGACAGAAGCATGCACCTATTGTACAGCATACCTCTTTGATTCGTTTCACTAGAGCATTCTGATCAAAGGCAACAGCTTCTGCACACTGATGAAGGTGATCTTGGTATCGGAGGCACAGCTGTAACACTTGCTGAGAGTCCAGCTTCTCCAATTTGCTGTTTGTAGGGGAAGTCTGCCCACTGAGCAGTCCTAGAAGAGATGGGAAATAATGGAATTAATCTGACTGCTTAAACAGCAACTAATACACAACTGAACTATGAAAGATCAGCAGTGGAACAAACCTGCCAAAAAGAAATAATGCAGTATGTAAATAATGCAGTAGACAGAAGTGCTAAAACAGGTACCTCTAACCATACCCAGCAAGGACCCTTGACGCACCTGAAACACATTCTAAGTGCGGCAGCACAACTTCAGAAAACGTGATTTGCTGGTGGTGGGTTACCTAAGAATTTAAATCCCCTTCCTTCCTCCTCATCCAGTTTCCCACCTTTAATAATTCCCCCAACATTTTCAAATTGTGGAAGGGGAGGAAAGATGGTAAGCTTTGAAACGTTCCCAAAAGGTCATCAGATTCGGACTATTTTGGACCAAAAAGACAGTACTGCCAACGACAAGAGTTCCCACGTCACGAGTCAGGCCTCCACAAAGAAAAGAATGAGTTGAAATCTTCTTTAAAAAAAGGAGGCAGGGGCCTGTATTTTTTGTTTGCTTTCTGCTTTTGAGACTCCAGAATGCTACTGAGTCACGTTTTCAGGCTTTCCTACACAATCCTGAAGACCAGAAATTCACTGTTTTCTTTAAATGAAAGTTGAGATTCTCACCTAATCACATGACTCCAGGGACTGAGACACATGATAAAAATGCAAGTTGGCAACACTGGGAAAGCAACTTCCAGAGTTGTGGGGCCCTTACAGAGAATGCTCTTCTAAGCAATCCCATATTATTTTTATCAAAAGGAGTCGAACTTGAGACCCTCTTCTGATTTCCACTGTGGCAGTTTGATATAAAACTTTTTTTTTTAAGTTATAAGGAAGAAATGATACTAGTACTACTAAGCTCCTCCTTGTACTACTTCCTACTGTTTTGTTCTAGTTTTCCTACTGGTTTAGTTAAACTTTTTCCTTGTTCAGGCTAAGCACCGTCTGAACCTTCTCGCACTAGAGCTGCAATAGGCAAATACCACAAAAAGTTTTCCAATAATATCTGTCAGAGCTGCTAAATAAATTTAGTTTGACTGCATTTGCATCCCTTGTGTGCTCATTGCCTGTGAATATTCACAGGCATTCTAGTTTACTGGCAGGAATATCCACTGAAAAAAACCAAACAAACACAGAAGGCAGATTTCAAATTGATAACTGTGAATATTTTGAATCAGAAACTGCTTCTAAGAGTCCACCCAGCCAAGAAATTGAAACAATGCTATATGACCAATAGCTGGATTTTCAAATATCAAATACTTGTCAGAAAATGGTTTATGACCAAGCTACAGATCAAGAATCAACTTGTTTGACAAATAAACTTGAGGAAAAAATACATCTAGTTACAGATCAGTCACAATCAGAAATAAAAGCATTCATTCTACTAAATTTGCCATCAGGTATTTAATTAGCTCAATTTAGCAGCATCTATTAGAGAAAAAGTTCCACAACAGAGGTTCCCTCAACTGAGTCTAGTTTCTTTCCTCCCAAAATCATGCTTCCCTCACCACACTGCCTGTCAGAATTCATCCTTTTATCCCAACTTTGTGCCCAATACAGGTGCCTGGGTTGATAAAAACTAAACGTTTGTCACTGAAACCGTATTAACACTGTGAGTAATGGTCTTTGTCATTTACTTTCTGAAAGACAAACCAACCTCAGGTGAAATCCTGGTTCCACCAAATTTAACGGAAAAACTCCCATAGACTTCAGTGGGGCAAAGAGGATTTAACCCTTGATTCTCGAACAGTAAAGCTCATGCATAACTTTAATCTCACTGAAAGCGGATGGGATTCCTTATGTGTGTGACTTCAAGCATTTTTAGGGTTTTGCTGGATCTGTTTAACTCCAAACTTCTCAAAAGTAATGAGAGCAAGCATCTCATGACACAGAACTAGGATAAGTCTGACTAGCACGGTCAGCTTGTGTCTTACTGGATGTTCACACAGTCACAACATAGTATTCCCCATCCTAGATCAGACCACTGGTCATTGAGGTGCCATCCTGCTCTTGGAAGCAGCCAAAAACCCTATGCCCCTGGCCAATTAATTTCATTTACATTTATTACTACTCACTCACCAACCTCCAACCAGCAGAGGAGAAGCTACATGTCATTTAGGATATTGAAGTTTAACCTTAAAGTTTTGTGTAGGTATTTGGGGAACTCTTCAAGCTGTTTGTTGGAATTTGCAAAGATAGCTAGGATAAAGATTGCAACATGGGTAATATGTTCCTTTATGGCTCTTAAGCTTATAGACATAAAATCTTGTACCGTTCCGTACTGTGAAAAGCAATTAAAAGACACTTAAAATATAAGAAACAGCCTGTAACTCACTACCCAGGATATCATGGGCTGAAGTGAAAGTGGAGGAATGTTAACTGTTCAAATAGAGTTTTATTTATTAAAACAATACATCATAGAATCATAGTGTTAGAAGGGACTGCAAGGGTCATCTAGTCTACCCCCAAGTGTGTTTCATCACTGGTTGAAATACAATCCAGCACCAATTTATGAGGTAGCAATAAAAAACAAGTAGTGTAAATCAGTTCAAGAAGAGCTGGATGCTATTTTTTGAGGAGGTGGGGATGGAATTCAGCGCCTCTCTAGGATTTCTATACTCAGGTTGATGATGTGTGCCATTATAAGTAAATTTAACTCACATGGAAATCTTCCATCCATCTGAAAAACAACCAGAGTTAGTACTAACAGGCTGAAACGGGCACGTGATGTTCTCTGTTGGACTTCGAGGTTCCATAAGCTATAAAATGATCAGTTATTTATTGTTTTTAAAAACTTTCTGACTACTGCTATGGAATTTGTGCTATGAATATTAATGTTTCATTAATTCACTGCATTTTCAGCAAGTTATTAACTTCTAAATTGCTTCAAGAGAGCAGATTATGTTCACAGTAAGTCACCTTAATTCTTCATGGAAGAGGCCGTAAACACTCTGGGTTTACAAGGGTTTTGCATGGGTGAAGGAGGAATACTGGGAGTTCCAAGGCCAAGATTTTCCAGAAGTGACTAGTGATTTGGGTGTCCAATCTGAGACATCTTAATTTTCAAAGGGAAGGGATGCTCTGAACTTTCTAAAAGGCAAGCCTCTTTTAAGGTCTCTCTTAAATCTCTAGTTACTTTTTAAAGGCCTGGCCATAAGAGTTTGCCATAAGGCTTCCAGTAGGGAAGCTCTTAAGTTTTAATACAGCTTGGGCCCCAGGAGACAGGATGTTTGGCACATAAGGTGCTGCAGCTTGTCCTGAAAGACAGGTAGGGGTGAGACATATGGAAAGTGCATCATGACTAAGGCTACGATTTAGTCATGGAATCCGTGACTTCCAGCAACCTCCATGACTTCAGCCTGCGGCGGTAAAGAGCTGCAGGGTCCCCCGCCACCTCACAGCTCCTGGCCACTGCGACTGGTGGGGGGACCCCCGCAGCTCCCGGCAGCCGTGAGCAGCGGGGACACCACACAGAGCACCTGGCTGCCGTGGCTGGACCTCCAAAGCTGTGGGCAGCAGGGGTGCACTGCTGAGCTCAGAGCACCCCAGAGCTCCAAGCCGCCACGCAGCTGCCCTGCTGCAGGTGGTGTGGGGACCCGCAGATCCCCATTTTGTCAGATATTTCTAGTAAAAGTCAGGGACAGGTCACGGCTTCCGTGCATTTTTCTTTACTGCCCGTGACCTGCTTGTGACTTTTAAAAATATCTGTGACAAAATCTTAGCATTAGTCATGACTAACTGGAAAGAAAGGGGAAGTGGGTTACAGAGAAGCAAGGAGCAAAACACTGGCATGAGGGAAAAGGACTACAGCAGGGCTGAGGAGCTGTAGTGTATGGACGCAAAATGTCTTGGCAATTGCTACCAATACACATTCTTAGCTTTTCAAACTGTACTGCAAAATAAATAAAGGCAGACCGCACTACACGCCTGCCAGAGAGGACCAAGAGGAGTCAGCCTCTATGTTCCTTACTAAACAACACACAACCATGAAGGTGATGTTCCGCAGTTGTTGGGGCAAACAGATGGGAAATCACATTTCAGCTGCTAAACGGCACTTTAAAAAAAAAAAAAAAAGCAAAATGTGGCATGCCTATAAAAACACCATATATCACTAGTAGGCTAGCTGACCCACAGACTTGACAAAGCTCTCATTGTTTTCATATTCCTTGGCAAAGCAGAGGCATGTTAAAACCATTTCCCTCCTAGTTAGTCATCATCTTGCTGGTTCCAGTTTATAGTTTTACAGTTTACAGTTACAACAAATCACATCCTATTGAGCAGAAGAAAGCTGTTAATACGAAACCATTTCTATGAAGCCAGAGGAACAACAGAGGAGAGTCTCGAAGAGATCCTTATAACACCACTACTGTAAACGTATGTGCATAACACGTTAACCAATTACAGTAACATTCAACAGATTTAAATAAACGATCCTGAGAAGAATCAGCTCACTTTGCAGGCTGAAAAGCAATTACTGTATTTTCACTTAGTTATATTTCCTGGCATTTTGTTAATCCCAGTCCCAAGCAGACATGACAAAAAGGAATCAACACTTTTACTGCTGACATTTTATATATTACAGAATACACAATATTAGGGACAGTACACAATGGTGTGGCCTGATTATGAAGATTTTAAATCAGCATGAGAGCCTGAGATGCACACATTACTCACAAAAGAGGAAAGCTCCTCAGGAGCTACACAAGGTGTTCCAACAAGTGCCAGATATTTTACAGAAAAGCTATGTTAGAAGCATTTTGTGGCATTCTATTTTCTAACATTAATGGCACTATTTGTTATCTCCCTCCTTGAGTTAAGCTAACCTTCCTTCATGTCATGAGTCCAACTGCACGAACCTCAAGAGTCAGAAAAATTAAAAGCAACACACTAGAAATAGGTTTCAGAGTGGTAGCCGTGTTAGTCTGTATCAGCAAAAAGAACGAGGAATACTTGTGTACTCCTTAGAGACTAACAAATTTATTTGAGCATAAG